CGAGTCACAACACCAACTGCAACGGTATTTCCTGAAGATCGAAGGAATACCCTTCCAAGGGCTCGACATTTTGAGAACTCTTCGACACAAACTGCTTCATCCAAAGCCACCTGTATACAGGAACAACCTCTTATCAGTACAAACATGAAGGTAAGAGTTTATTGTTTCAAAAGGGTACCATTTGGCATTTCAAATGTGATACCAATGATTATCAAATGGGGCAAGTTTCCATAAATGAGCAAGGAAATTGTTTTGTTTGACTTACCTCAATAACAGCACTTTGTTTGGCTTTGAGGATGCGCGGTAATTTCTTAGAGACCTTCCCGGTTTTTTGATCAAGGAGAGAGATTATCTTAACTACTCTTGCTGCCTCCTTTGCATGGTGAATATGAAACTCAACCTGCAATTTTTGCTTATCTATAAGATCGATGATAGAGGTTGATAAGACTATAATGAGAAAGAATCAATTGAGATGGTTTGACCAAGTGCAACAAAGACCAATAAATGTACCAAATAGAAGAGGTCATAAGATTATAATTAATGAAGCAAGGAGGACATAAAAAGAACTTCATAGAGGGGAAAAAAAGGATATATGGCGGTTTAACTTATTGCTGGAGATATCAATTACAATCCTAATTAGCGAAGATTTTAAGGAAAAACGGTTAAGCTACTTAACCCATTTAAAAGAAAGAAGCATTAAATTCGTTAACCCGTTATGTTATTATTATAATCCTTGCGGTCTTTGTTTCAGAAGAGAGGATTATTACAAATTTTTTTTTTAAAATAAATAAAGAGGTTATTTCTTTAACCAAAAGGCAGATTAACAAACACCTCATTTCAAAGTTATAAACTTTTCTTAACCCGTCTAGAGGGATTATTTTAATCCCTTTACAATGTTTGCAGTTAGCAAATTAAGCCAGGTTAACTCACTATACACCGTGTCAAATAAAATTGTGTTTGCAGGTTAAGGAGGGTTAATTGTACTAAATCCCCTCACTTCGTCAAATGACGCCTAATAAAACCGAACACAGAAGAATAAGATTCATGTAGCCGAACCCAAAAATTTTCAATAAAGAATATTTTGTTGTTGTTATAAAAGATCACTAATAGACTTGATATGATCATGTGAGGGGCTGATCACCTGAGATCCAATTAGAATTGGTACAGTAATGTCCAAGACAATAATCCTCAATTCCAAAGAGGTCGCTACAGCAACAGGAAAATCAGGGTGGCACAGCACGCCACCTGGCATTACATGGCTCCAGTCAATTCCCTGCAAACTGATAGCGACGTTGTCCCCAGCTCGTGCTACAGAACAAGCATATGAGTCACGCTCAATAGATCGCACAGTAGCCAACTCTCCTGAAGGCATCAACAAAACCTGCAATCACCCCAAATCGTCAACACAGGTCCACATAATAGCTGCTAAATGCACCAATTAGGAGAAGTAATAAGACTATAGTGTATGTGCTTAAAGTACCCGAAAGTTTACTCTATTTTTAACTTTGATACACCAAAGGTTTTTTTTGCCCAAAACATACCCCCAAAGTCTACCTCATTTTTAAGTTTTAACATTGATACCCCAAATCCTTGACAAAAATTTAACTTTAATCCCCCAAACTTTAACAAAAATTTAACAGAAGTTATATGTTTGGGGTATCAAAGTTAAATCTTGTGGATCTTTGGTGTATTTTGTTGGCAAACTAAAACTTAGGGGTATCAACTTTGTTTTTTTTTTAACAAAAACTTTGGGGTATTAAAGTTAATGGTGTAACTTTTGGGGTATTTTAAGTGCAAATGAAAACTGGAGCAACTTGGGGTGAAATAGCCAGTTGAAAACATTAGAGGATGCCTTTTCCCACTAAAACCACAAAGGTTTGTCAGTTGTTCTCTTTGGTTGTGAATGAAATGCTTTCTATTCTATTATTTTCCGCTTTCCATTTTTGTTTTGATGCATAAGATCAACCAAAATGAGCTTTTCATAAGTCCAATATATGCCTAGGCAATGAAATGATAAACAAATTTAAATTGACAACATAAAAAACAAAGACATCTTTAACATGGATGAAATTAGCCAAGTTATCAAGAGAAAAGAAAGAACAGAATTTTCAATCAAAGAGAATCCAATGTGTTGTGATAGAGGGCATACTATGAGCTGACATTAGCCCAGAGACCAATCCTAAACTGATAATAAGACAATCAGAGCCGAAGTTTTAATTTTATGTACTGCATTGTCATTGTTATTTCTTATTTACTGCTTTAGACTTTGCTGTATTATTGTTTATCTTTCAGCTAACTTTGACTTTTGTTAACAAGTCAGTAAGTTGTCCACAAAGTTGTTCTCGAGGAGAAAATTAGTCCTTGCCAGTAAAGATGAAGTATACATAAATTATAACAAGAAAAACACATAGGTACATCAAATGATCTTTATAAACCAGAATACTGTTTGCAAGAACAAAATAAAGGAGAAAACAGAATGTAAGAAAAGTTATAAAAATAAATAACTAAAAAAAAGTAGCTACTTCGCGATTATATATGCCTATAATCAAAAAATCCCATGTTATAAATAAGCAATTGAAACAGACTGCACAATTTAAGCAAGAACAGCAGAACAATCAGAAAATCCATAACCATGCAAACAGAGAGATGAAAGTACAGCCAGGAAAAAAAATAAAAAAAGATAAAATGAGAACAGAAAAATAAATGACCTTTGAACCATTTTTAACAGCACCGGCCTCAAGCTTCCCACTGGCAGCAAGCTGCCCCTGTGATTGAAACTTGGTCACATCACAGATAGGCATACGAAGTGGCTTTGAAATATCCCGCAGGGGAGGTTGCAGGGAATCTATTGCATCCAAAAGGCATGGCCCCTGAAACCTACAAAATTGACGCATGATAATATAGTCCATAAGAAGAACCTCTAGCATAAGAAATAACCCAACCGATCTGAAATAACCAATTGGAGTTTTTTGAAGAAAATGGTAACGAATTCATCAATTTAAATTAATTGTGTGTCTGGAAGGCCAAGATGGCATGCGTCTAGACCATTTTTTAGGGCCTAAATATCTGCCATAGTACTAGTGCTTCAAAATCAATATTATTTTAAAGAAAACTCCTGTTTTTACAAACATGGCTCAGTTTTACTTCCTAAGATGGGTTAAGCTAATAACCACTTCCATGGCAAATATTGCATGCCAAGCCATAAATACTATAGAATATTCAAAAAAGATTCTGCGCATCTAGAGATGCAATAAATATTAATAGATATATTTCAAGTTGAGAAAGTATTAATGTCTGTTTACATGTATTTCAAGGTGAGAAAAATATAGAGAAGAGTTGCTCATTAACTGGATCTTACCAAGATATCAAACGCTTGTCTGAAGCACTTGACACCAAATTCTGATTTTCCATGGCACTAAGTGGAACCCAAGTGACAGATGATTCCTTGAATCCACAGGAACGGAGGAAAGAACCAAGTTGCAATTTAATAAAATCAAATCTTTCCTTAGAGAATTCCACGGTATCCATCTTATTGACAGCAACAATAAGTTGCTCGACACCAAAACTCCGAATAAGTTGAGCATGTTCCTTTGTTTGTCCAATGCCAATACCATCCATACCTGCTTCAAAGGATCCTTTGGAAGCATCAACAACAAGAACAGCAGCATCTGCTTGTGTAGCACCGGATATCATATTTGATACAAAATCTTTATGTCCTGGGGAATCCAGCAAAACCACCCGGTACTTTTTGGAGTCAAAATATGCAACAGCCACTGTCATTGTTACACCCCTTTCCCTCTCTTCAGAACTTTCATCCATCGCCCATGCATAAGCAAATGATCCCTTTCCCTGCAGTTGCAAATCATTGTACAATGATTAAATCATGTTCAGCAACTAAAAAAAATTAGAATAAATTTGTTGTTTAAGCTGCTGAGAATGCTGAATGCCAATTGAGCAAGCTGGGCTAGAAAATGAGTTGCAATGTTAAAGTTATCAGATAATAAACATCCTGCTGTAAGTTCCCCTAGACTGCTCTATGCTAAACTCAGCCCATGCAGCTCTGCAGTCCCTCTATGAGCCATGACAGAGTGTGCAATAAAATAATAGTGTATCTGCGAGTATATAACATACCATTTGTTTCGCCTCCTTCTCATATTTGTGCATTTCTTTCTTAGATATTCGACCCAATAGATGTAGCAGCCTACCTGATAATGTGGATTTCCCAGAATCAACATGGCCCACCTGATAAAATTGTTGACAATATGATTCAAGTTAAATAACTAATATGGCGGTAAGTACACATAGTCTGATGAATTGTGGAGCATAGCTCACTAGGCTAACCCAAAGAATTTACTTACTATTGCAAGATTCAACTGATTGAAGAGTCCTTGCTCTTGGTAATTCAACATCCATTTCTCCGGCGTATAGTCAACCTTGCTTGTTATGCTATGTGGAATATCAGTTTTCTCCCTGACCCTGCTCTCAGATCCATTGGGAGGTCTCGGTTCAGATAAAAACCCAGAAGAACTGCTCGGTATTCCATTATCATTTCCAATACTTGTGAAAGTATCGTCCAACTTCACATTGTCGAGCTTGCCAGGTAGATCCTGTGGCATCTCTCTTTTCTCCCTGATATTGCTGCTCTCAATTCCATTCTGATGACTCGGTTTAGGTAAAGATCCAGATGAACTTCTTGGTACTTCATTGGGTGAAATACTAGTAGATGCTGAAAGAATACACAGGAACTGTTAGTGATGCTTATGGTTGTGAGGAATCTGTCAACTAAATATTTGCATGGTAATAAAGTAGGAAAAAAAGAATTGGCAACTGCATTCGCGTCTGTAGAGGAAAATCAGAAATCTTGTGTAATTAAGAATGATCAACTCACAAGGTTCTTTGTAGTTAGGAACGGCAGCTTCCCTATGGTTGCCTAAATCAACAGAGGAATCTTGACAAGCTCCACACATGTCGCAAGATAATGAGCTTCCGTCATTATCATACGTGCAAAATGAACAACGCCAAAGCTCAGACTTCCTAGCTGTCTTATCTTTCAGGGATGGCTTTTTTCCTGTTACAGCAAAAAGCAGCATGAGCAGATAAGACACAGAGATTCAAACTCTGTTATGACATTTACTTACCATAAGTCATAGCCTATGCAAGCAAGAAAAGAACCAAAATACTTTTTTTCCCTCTCCCAATTATAATTATATCTATAAACAATTAACACAAGCTTCCTAAGTGTAAAGGGTCAAGTTTGTATATATTTACATCTTAGTTGGTAAATGCGCAGAACAAACAGAACAAACTGTTAGTAACTAATAAACAACCTTAAGATAAGCATGACATCTGACGTTACTCTTTTTTGTAAAACAAATACAGATTAGAGGCAAATTAGCAGAAATTATGAAGGCCAGTCACTTCACGCTCACATCAGCAAGGCAAGTGTACCAAAAAGAATTATATAGCAGACACCGCAGACCTATGCCAAATTCTAGAAAATCAGAAAAAGAGGCCCATTTGTTTTGCTCTTTAAAAAAAAAATCTAAAGGTTGCATGTTGAGCATCATCCCGATCCTCTTGCATGAGAAGAGGTGATCCATGTACTACATCGAGGATTGCAAAGCCGTCTAATTCTGATATAATTTAAAACGTACCTTATGATATTGATTTAGATGATAATTTAGTATAAGAACATATGCCTCAAAATCAGGTAAGAAACACCATCGGCTCATATTAGCTGGGTATTAGCTTGGAGTTTCAAATATTTTTCTTTTATTCAAATATTGTTCAAATATTGTTCTTTTATAATTTACCTATGTTAATTATCGAGGTTAATTTTTTCCCTAGTATTTGTAAAGCATGACCTACGGACCTCCTATTAGGTATTTTGATGTGTTATGCATATGTTTATTACTTTTTGTATTATGTCCATGTCCCCTACATTTTAAGGATCGTCATGTCATATCTCCATCGATGACTCGTCTTCATGTATCCGAAGATAAATCAACAGCATAATGACATTATGAGTATAGAGCATATATAAAAAGACAAAGAAATTAAAACTGTATAAGCATAAATCATCAAAGTACATATTATATGTAACTCACCATGACCATGCCCATCTTCGGAATAAGAGCAATTATTTATTTCACTGCCATGATTATAACTATTCACTTCCAATTCATCATAGTCGTGCTCATCATAATCATCATAATCATCATAGTCTTCCTCGTAGTATTTTCCATAATTTGTCTTCCGAGGCATATTGCTGTAAAATAAAACACCACAATTAGAGAGACTGTAAGTTATTCACATGTAAGCAACTTAGGAAACAAATAGAAAAAATCGCATCAATAGTAACAAATAGTAAGAACGCCTCAGTATCATTTACGAGAAATCAAATATTAGCAATTCTTACTATGAGAAATCAAGTAGTAAAAACTAAAATGCAATTCTCTTCTCAAAAATCTCTTCAATTGTTTTTTTGTTTTTAAAGCGTCAAACCCTGTATTTATAATTCTTAATTGCCAGATCCTAATCCTATTAGGAATCGTAATTGTTTCAGCTGACAGTCTCCTAATTTCTGCTCTTTTACTGGACTTCCAAATTAAACTTCAAATCCTCTTTTAGTTCGGGGGAGAAAAGACCTACAATCCTTTCCAATTAATTACTATCCAGATCAGGAAACCTTAAGATAACATCAACATCGAAATCTTTTAGGCAGGAATTATGTCGAGTCCTACTAAAACTAGGGGATCAAAAGCCAAATCCCAAAATCCTATTTCAGTTAGCATTGCGAGTTGTAGTTACAGCTCTTCAGAACATTTAATGGTAGAAACTGTGTTTTTGGGGGGTCAATCCAGATAAAAACTGTAAAATCAGAAAGCTTGGCGACTTTTAATGATTCAATATAAAAAATATTCTTTAAAACAATTTACGTGCAGTAAGTGAACAAATAAGTTCCTGGAACTGAGTCTGCAATCATTTGCTTGAAATTGTCTTAGGATCTGAGAGAGTAAAACTGAAATAATTGGTCTTAAAGCCAGGTAGTAAAGAAACTAGTACCATGTGTACAAATAATACTTAATAAAAAAATCTAAGCATGAAATCAAAGAGCAAATAGCATACCTAGTCAATATTCACAAGAATCCTTGGCAGGCTCTGTCTCAACTTGAACACTAGTTCTGTTTGCAAAAATCTCTTCAATTCTTCGCAGAAAAAAAAATCCCTCAACCCGTATACTTATAGGTTAAATTGTCAAATCCTAATCCAATTAGGAATCCTAATTATTTCAGGTAATAGCCTCCGGTATCCAAAGAAGGAAACTTGAAGACCACATCAATCTCCTAAACCCTAATCCTATTTTAGCTGGGGTTTTTTCAGTTGTAGTGAAAGCGCCCGTACTCAATACATCAAAATAGCACTAAAAAAATAGATTCTAAACTTTCTACTGATAACCTTTCCCGACTAAAAGCAAATCGATTACGAAAATTAAACAAACATCGCATTGAATTTAACGTCGAACGGTAACTTCCCCCAATTTCACAATTGCCCATCGAATAATTACATTGCAATTTCTCATTGAAGAGAAAAGAATTTAACACTAAATTATATTATATAAAATTTACCAAATCGAATAAAGTTGAGTCAAAAAAAAGAGAAATTTGCAGCTATAAGAAGCAGTTCGGAGCTCTTACCATCCGAAATCGAGATTGAACCCTAGATTCGCTCCCAATTCGAAACCTTCAGTTATTGTGTGAGCAGAAAAGGAGCGAGCTTTCAGGGAGGAGGCAAAATTGGGGGCGATGGTTTGTCGGATCCGGGTAAACCGTCACGCGGATTTAGATGGAGATCCGCTTTTAAATATGAAAATAATCGGGTTGTGGACGGGTTGGATTCGGGTTCGGTACATGATTTTCAATCCGAAGAGTGATAGGATTCGTGTTTATATGGATCTGCAGCCGCCGCTTTACTCGGCCCAACGGAAGCAGCTATAAATCTGCTTCTGATTTTTCTTTTAAGACCTGTTGAAGTAGAGACCATTTTTGTTCCTTTCGTATAAAAAATTATGTTTATTTCTCTGTAAAATCTATTTCCGCTACTTCTTTAAAAGCTGACGTGACATCTAGCTGACACATCTATTTTCTTGATATTTTTCCGCCTTCGAATGCACTGAAAATACGGCGGAAGTTGATGTAAGATGGGGTCCACAAGAAAAATTTGATTCTCAAAATTAATTACTTCCTAGTAATATTTTCAAATATTATCCAAACAAGAATAGAATAGAAGCAACATGTATTAATTACTTCCTAGTAATATTTCCAAATATTATCAGTTATTTCTATAACATACTTCTTACTTCCAATACTTTTATTATCCAAACGGGCCCTAAATGTTGAAGTGTTGTCTACATAGCATCCTTACTTCTTAAAGTTTTTGGCACGAAAGTAGCTGAAACATGAGTCAACTTTAAAATAATACCAATTTTTATAATGTATAGATATTCTCCATTTCCAAATAAAATCTCTACAGAGAATGTTTCTTCCTAACAATGTTGATAATGATTATCCAAACAAAAAAAAGTTAATGAAGAAGAAGAAAACATTATTTCCGCTACATCTAACATTTTGCGAAGCAAACAAAAAATATTACTTCTACTACTTTCCACTTACTAAATTTAGTAGTTGATGTTCGATCTACTTCTCACTTTTTTTATACCTTTGATACTCAAATTTGTACGAGCATCAATAGATAATTTTTTTTGCTAATTCAAAAGAGAAAGATGCAATAAAAGAGATCTTCAAATCCCGAAAACTCTCCCACATATGACAATAAGGTACTATCAGAACTATCTATATAATAGTGAGGTAGTTTGCACCATAAATAGCAGAGTTATACCAATCCTAAGCTAACCGTCCAAACATTGGAATAGTATATAGATCATCTCATTTCATGAGGGTATTCTAAGAGGATTTGCACTCTAGAGGCAAAAAAAAAAAACTTTCGGATCCAAAAATTATCTCACAAATGGTAGAAAACAATCTCTTAAAATTATATCAAACGAGAAAGAAATTATGCTAAGGGGCTGTTTGGTTCGTTTCCTAGATATAGGGAAATGCATTTTCATGTACAAAAACACAAGTTTTGAGTTTTCTAAACTTTTCTAAGAAATAGATTGTTTCGCTTTGGTTCGCACAAAAAATTTGTGGGAAACCAATGTATTTATTTTTCTTGTGTTTGGTTCGCATGGAAAAAAATGTAAAACTTTTGTTTATATGGCAAAAAGCCGACGTGGCTGTAGTTTTCGTCGATTTCACGAGGTTAAGGAAGGAATTGGGGGAGAGAAAAAAATCTGATGTGGCGGCGATTTCACCGAGTTTCCCTTCTTCAACCCTAGCGAACCAAAATTCTAACAGCCTCTAAAGGTAACACATTAGACAAAAAAGTTAACAAACAATTGCTAAAGCTGACAAATTCAACACAAAAGTTAAATAATAGTCAAAAGTGATAAAATATTCTAAATGTAACAAATTAGGCACAAAATTTCAGAAAATAATTAGCTAAAGTTATTTGCTAACCAATTTATCATTTGCCTGCTTCCACATGTTTTGGAAAAGCTAAAAAAAAGGCATTTAATGGGAGGGTAGAACCAACTAATTAAAGCTATAGATATCACTTTGGTCCTAATTAAGGTTCCTTTTACTGCACTACATCGTTTAATTGTTCCCTTTTCAATCATTAAAGAATAATATAATAGCAAGAGAAGCGAGGAAAGAGATGAAGGCTATTGGTTTATAGGTACTCAATGATATTAATCGTTGGTTCATCGTGGCTGCACGTTACTTCTAATAATTTTGATTTCTAATTTTGGGTCATGACCCTAATAAAATCCAACGGACACGGCAAGGAAAGAGATAGAGCTTTGCTACGGGGACCCAAAATATGAGACCAATAAAAAGGACAAGTGAGGTGTCCCCTTCTTATTGGATAATGAGTTGGTCATCATTAATGATGACCAACTCATTATCCAATAAGAGGGGGACACTTCACTTGTCCCCTCTATTGGTCCCATATTTTGGGTCCTTAAGGAATTTTTCTTTCTAGAAAGCTAGGTTACTATATAATTAACTAGCCGTGAACATCGTGCAAAGTACTACATATCAATTTTTTTTCCCTACGGTAATCCCCATCTTTTAAGTGCTACAATAATTTTTTATTTTTGAATTGCTGAAGTTCCCGCATCTGATGCAGTTTTTTGAAATGCTACAGTATTCCCGTATGCTGCAGTGTTTTCTTCAAAAAATGCTACAGTTCCCTGTTTTACTACAGTAATAATGTTACGGTAAATGTTATTGTAGTATGAATAGTGAATCTTGGGTTCTCCCATTTGTATATAGGAGTAGATGATTAAAAATTTTGCAATTGTCTCTGAAGAGTTTTTATATTTGTAAAAAAGTGCATAATCGCATCATCAATAACACTATAAAATATGTAACCAGTAACAGATTCTTAGACTATGAACTTGAATTGAAAGGTGAGCTTTTTAGTAGAGAAATTTCATGGGGAAAAAAAGAACCTTGAGTTTGGGCATTTCTTGAATAATCCTCTTACCTTTCAAACTATCACAAACCCCTCATTAAGTTTTGAGGTTTTCGGAAAGCCCCCCTTCAATTTTTGGATTCTACTTTAAATATAGATGAGTAGATACGGAAAGAAATAAGACATTGAGGTTAAAGATATTTTTAAGTACAACTAAAAATATAAATGATCAGTGCATAAATCTTTGAGTCAAGGATAAAGCCTTGAGAAAAATGTAGAAAAGCATGAAAACCATCATGTGTCTCTCTCAACACTTCGCGATGAAAAGCTTTTTTCTAGAATGTTTTATCTCACTGTACCTCTACACCAAAAGTCTTATAAAACATATCAAAGCAAAAAATTCTTTTAAATGAAATATAATGACTATTAAGAAAATAAAAAAACTACATACTTCCTAAAGGGGGAGGCTATTTTTGATCAGTCTATATCTATTTATATCTATATCTATACTATATATAAAAGAGGATTGCTTTGTCAAAATTTTTTATTTCTATTTTTGTCCTTTTAAATTTGATAATTCTCAAATTTGTCATTAACTGTAATTAATCATTCACTAATTATATATAACCTCCCATTAATTATACATTTCCTCTTTTTTTCAAAACCTTTCATCACACTATTGTTTTATTATTTTATTATGTTATTTAATAGCAACTTTAAAATTTATCCCTAATTAATCTTCACATAATATTTAAAAATCTAGAAAAATTAAAAATAACAAAAAATCATTAGGCTTATGCCTTACAACTTTGAGTTTAACCTCTTATGGAGGACTACCTATTACCTTACATCTTATTAGGCTTTCAAAAATATGATAATAGTATGAAAAATAATTTTCATTTATTGTAATTATAATAATATTAATAGTATAATGATTTTAATAGCATTCTTAAATTAATAAATTATATTTTAATTTAATAATTATACAATTTGGTAAATTATTTACTTATAGTGTAATAAACTAATTATTAAATTATAATGTAGTTACTAATAGTATTATAATTATGCCAAATATAATATTATTATATTTAAAAGAGAAAAAGCTATTATGTATATTGTAATTATTTTAATAAATTATAATAATTACCCAAACTATAATTGATCATACAGTTATTTATATACAGTTTTATCGTATAATTTATTCATTTAAATAAAATTATAATTGTTCAGAATTTATATTGCTGTACAAGTCATTTTTTTTTATTCTTTTTATTGTAGCCAACAAAAAAGTAAAAAACATGAAAAAAAACAGAGATGCTATTGTACAAAACACGTGCACTATACTAGTAAAAAATAAATACGAATCTAATTGCTATTTATAAACACTTTAATTGCATGTTGGAGGTGCTTAACTTTAATTGCAGCGTTGGAGTGCTTATGTTGCTGTAATTATATTTATTTATTTATTTTTACATGTTAGATCGTTTTCTTGGAAAATTATCACGCTGCTACAAACATAGATCCTTGTCATAAAAATGACTCATTGTAGCAATACAATCTGAAAATTACAATTGATACAATAAAATTGTAACTGCAATTTTTATAGTCCCTTATAATTACATTGCACACGTTATAGGTTGTAACTATAATTATTTTTACATGAAACTAAAGAGGCCGAATAATATATATCATAAGAGTAATTAATTTTCCATTTTAAGATTTTAACACCCGTATTTAAAAGACCTTCGTTCGAACGAAGACGTAGCTGGATGACGTGTCAAAATACTATTGGACGGTGCCACGCTCTCTCGAATATCATTGGTCGAGCCACCTCACCCCCAGTCTTTTTATTAGTGAGCTCAAATCTCAGTTCACAAATCAAAGCTAGGGTTTTCTCAAAAAGATCTCTTTATTTTATTTCATTTCCCCCCCTCTCTTTATGAGATTGCAATGATGGGGAAGTTGCAGATCTCGTCTCAGATCCTCTTGCTCTTGATCGCTTGCTCCACGACTCAGATTTGGGCTTCAGATGCAGTAATTTTTCTTGATTCCCCTTATTTTTTTTCGGCGATTTTGTTTCAATTATCGTAGTTTTTGGGGGGGCGAAGACTAAAGTTTTGATTGTTTTCCCAGTTATTTTACGAATCATTTGATGAAGCATTCGAGGGGCGCTGGATCGTCTCAGAGAAAGATGAATACGGAGGTATCGCGTTTCGAATCTGAATGATTTACTTTACGATCTCTTCGTTTTGGAGTTGGAAATGGGTTCTTTTGGTTGAATTTGGTGTAGATCTGCGGTTTTGTCAAGGTTTTAGGGCTTTTGTAGTTTAGGGTTTAAGAGTAGTTCTGGTAATTGAAGAAAGTTTGGTGCAAATGTATCAATTTTCATGATTATTAGTTTTGAGTAAAGAAATTTAGGTCTTTCTGGTATATAAGAGTAAAAATTTTCACTTTTAGAGTGGCAGACCTAAGTAATAGGTGAAGGAAATGGTTACCAGATAACTAAAGTCGAAATTCTATTTGGATCTGGGTCTTTGATATGGGATTTCAAGGGGCAAAGATAGTGTATTTACAATTTTATGGAATGGGATAGATTTGCTCATCTGTATTATTTGCTACCTTCGATTTGCAAATGGTTGTTTGTCTCAGCTCTGGCTGGCCCTGTAAGTGATAATACGATACCTAGCTAATAAGGAAAATACATCAGCTACTTGCACGTGCGTAAATATATTTTGGTGCTTCATTTATGGGTGCAAAGGATTGAGCTCTTTTGTTGGGTTCGTTAAGGAAAACTCAAAACTGTGATATTATATGTAGTAAACTTTCCAAGTATATGCATTGCCTGAATACGACAATATAAGTGAATATAAATTTCAATCAATGACATTAGTACTCTTTAAGTTTTAGAAGATTTGATATTTAATCAACTCTTCGTTCAACTCATGATAGAATGGCGGAGGAAGCGAAATTTTATAGTCATTCTACGCAGGGCATGCTCGTCTCAAGAGATGATGCTAAGGACAATTTTTTTAAAAAAGCCTCATTTTAAAATTTATTAAGCAAAACTGACCATTTAGACATTTAATAAGCAAAACCGACCCTTTTCAAAAGAAAATGGTTGGTTTTGCAGTAAACAGTTATTAGCGAAGTGCACGGGACTAGTAGTCCCGTGCACTTCACTGGAAGAGATCAAATTCTTTCTCCTCTAATGGCGGAATAAGATTGTTCACTTATTCCTATTTCACAGTTCTCAAAATAACACAAATTTATTCATGAATTGCAAACTAACACCAATAAGCATAATAATATGTATCAGTGAAAAATACAAACAAAGAGGGGGAAAAAAGAAAAGAAAGGGGTGGAAGTGGATGCGAAGGGGTGGAAGTGGATGCGAAGGGGTGGAAGTGGATGCGAAGCCGGAGGATGAGATCCGAGGACAAGAAGACGGAGAGGGCGAGGATTTAGTCGCGGAGCTCCGACGATCTCCCTTCTCGGGCGGCAATCACGGCGAGGAGGCGCTCCCGGAGGCACGAGGCGCAGACGCCGAAGCCGAGCGATTTTAAAGAGCGATTTTTTTTGGGGTCTGTCACAGCGATTTTTTTTTGGCTCTGTCACGGGCGAGGGGTGTTCAGTCACGGTAATTAAAGTGACGAGTAGGGCAATTAAAGTGAAGTGCATGGGACTACTAGTCCCGTGCACTTAAGCTAATAACTGTTTGTTGCAAAACCGACCATTTTCTTTTGAAAATGGTCAGTTTTGCTCATTAAATGTCCAACTGGTCGGTTTTGCTTAATAATTTTTAAAAAGAGAGTTTGTTTTAAAAATTTGTCCTGATGCTAAAGATCATAAGGATAATTATATAGATGAATTAGTTGCAAGTATAAATTATGGAGAATAAGGGTTTATTTGCCTGTATTATTTCTATATACTTCTGTTTCCTTGGAGCGTATTTGACAGAGTGTTCCAAATCAGGTTTATATAGCCTTTTACGACACGAAAAAAAGAGGCTGCAATATGTAATTGAGTTTCACTTTCAAAATGCACTTAAAAGATGAAGGAAAATCATTGTTGAATGGTAGAATAGTGATTTTTGGGGTGATTTGAAGAAGTATATGTAATTTACATTATATAGAATAAAACAAAAGGTATTTTGAGGGGAAAAAAATCTTCAATTGCAGTTCTGCATAATTCCATAATTCCTTTTCCTGTGCATGTTTCTTAGTGTTACAGTTGGATTTCTTAGTTCATTAACCAAGAGAAGGACTCGTGGTTAAAATGTGGTTGAAATTCCACAAACTATCTAGCTAGATCTCGCTGGGTAATATACCTTAAGGAGAGATTAAAGCTTTTTCACAAGGGAGGTGTAAAACAATTGATGGAAGATAGCTTTTGTTATCATGTGTAGGATTATCCCTCAAGTACTTGATGAGCTAAGATCGCAAAAGAAATCTTCGATCTTGTTTACTATGGTTACATCCTTAGTTTCTTATCGCTCAGATTTTTTTCATCTTTGGTCGTTGCAATTGAACTTTAGGAAGCTCCTGTATCTATCATCATTTTGTTTTGCAAATTTTGGAATTTTGGTTACCATCCTTTTTGGGATCCATGTTCCTGTATCTGTCATCTTTTTGTTTTGTAAGTTTTGGAATTTCAGTTACTACTCCTTTTGCAATTCTAGATTGTATATTGATTCAACTTCACACATTTTATCTGTGAATAATGATAAGAATAATTCTAAAAGAGGCTTCAATATTAGTGTATGGAACAAAAATAAATGGCTATCATATCTTAATTTTTCTTAATATCTTTGGTTTCTTGACTAAAATATGTGTGTGCAGGTGTATGGAAACATTCAAAGAGTGAGGGACATGACGACTATGGCCTTCTAGTGAGTGAAAAGGCAAGGAAGTATGCCATTGTTAAGGAGCTGGAGAAGCCTGTCAGCCTCAAGGACGGTACCATTGTTCTTCAATTTGAAACAAGGCTTCAGAGTGGGCTCGAGTGTGGAGGTGCATATCTTAAATACCTCCGACCTCAGGAAGCCGGATGGATCCCCAAGGAGTTTGACAATGAATCCCCCTATACTATCATGTTTGGCCCTGATAAGTGCGGGTCCACCAACAAGGTCCATTTCATCCTTAAGCACAAGAATCCCAAGACTGGGAAGTTTGTTGAGCATCATCTCAAGTACCCACCGTCAGTCCCATCTGACAAACTTTCTCATGTCTACACTGCAATTCTGAAACCTGACAACGAGGTTCGTATTTTGGTGGACGGTGAAGAGAAAAAGAAGGCCAATTTCTTGTCTACCGATGATTTTGAGCCGGCTCTCATTCCACCCCAGACAATCCCCGACCCTGAGGACAAGAAGCCTGAGGACTGGGATGAGAGGGCCAAAATCCCGGACCCTGATGCTGTGAAGCCCGAGGATTGGGATGAGGATGCTCCGATGGAGATTGAGGATGAGGAAGCTGTTAAGCCTGAAGGGTGGTTGGATGACGAGCCTGAGGAAATTGATGACCCTGAAGCCACCAAGCCTGAAGATTGGGATGATGAAGAGGATGGAGAATGGGAGGCACCTAAAGTTGACAACCCAAAGTGTGAAGCTGCCCCTGGTTGTGGTGAGTGGAAGAGACCGACCAAGAGGAATCCAGCTTACAAAGGGAAGTGGCATGCTCCTCTTATCGACAACCCTAACTATAAGGGAATCTGGAAGCCACAGGAGATTCCCAACCCCGAGTACTTTGAGCTTGATAGGCCTGATTTTGAGCCAATTGCTGCTATTGGAATTGAGATTTGGACGATGCAGGATGGCATTTTGTTTGACAACATTTTGATAGCGAGTGACGAGAAGGTGGCGGAGTCGTATCGGGAAAAGACTTGGAAGCCGAAGTACGAAGTTGAGAAAGCAAAGCAGAAGGAAGAGGAGGAAGCCGCAGGTCTCTCGAGTGGGCTTTCAAGCATTCAGGTGATATATCTGTTCTCTTTATGCCCATCATACAGTAGGCTGTTCATCATTTTGTTTGTTATGTTACGTCCCCTCAATAACACGATTTATTTGCAATTGCAGAAGAAGGTATTTGATGTTCTTTACAAGGTGGCAGACATTCCTTTCCTGGAGAAATATAAGATCCAGATCATTGTAAGTACACTTTCCAATTTCCAATGTGCCTGCATTTCTTATTATACTTGACATTATTCCTTCAAATAGTTGCTTCTGTACACACTGTAACTTTCGGTAGTACTTCATTTAAAAAAAAACTGATCTGTCCATGTACACACATAGGTAGGTTTTAACTACAAAAGGCAACTAAACTTGTTACGTTAACCTAGCGGTTCACTCCGCAAAAAGTAATTTATAGATTTTCTAGCTCATGAAGTAGCGTAACCCTCGCAAGCAGAGACTCGTTCGAAACCTACTGTTCTGATTTTTGCTAGTTTGTCCTGTTCTAATAATAAGTATGGTCTCCGTGCAGGATCTCATTGAGAAGGGAGAAAGCCAGCCGAACATCACAATTGGCATCCTCGTCTCCATCGCTGTTGTCCTCTTGACCATCATCTTTAAGATTCTCCTCGGTGGGAAGAAGAAACCTGTGGTGAGTAACTTGCTCCCTCGCCATTTCATAACACGCTCCTTGCTTTTTTTAAAAAAAAACTCGTCTAAAAAACGCTCTTCTTCTTCTTCTTTTACAGGCACCAGCAGCACCCGCTCCAGAAACCAAGAGCCCCGACGCTTCTGCTACCGAAGCAGAAACGAGCGCAGCTGGCAACGAAGAGGATGAGAAAGAGGATGCTTCGGCTCCCCGCCCCCGGAGATCTAGGAGAGAAACATAGTCATTAATTTGTTAGGGTTTTTTCAGTTTTGAACTTTGGTCATTTGTTATGCTACATCTCCCCTGCGTACTCTTTTTTTCTAGCTAGATTTTTGTATTGTTTTTGAGTGTATATGGGATCTGGATTCTATCAGTCCAGTTCTTGTTATGACGATCGTTGTTACGGTTTACCTGACAAATTTTACGAAATCTTTTACGCTCCTTTATCTAATTAATGGCTTCCCTGTTTAATCGTGTCAGAAATCATGCCCAATTCCTCTCAAAAAGGCTGGATTTGGGTTTCCTGAAATTACCACTGTTTGAGCCACTTTATAGAATAGCAATTCTATAAATTTTTTTTGAACCAAACTCAAAATTAGGATTCAGTTGGATTCCATTAATTACGAAAACGCCACTGTCAGGTCCAAATATCATTCCTATTCCATAAACTTGGTGAAACAAACATGCCCTTCGAGCAAGTGCATCAAGCTTCCAGTTGAGCTCTCAGTTAGGAGTCCTAGTCAGTAAGCTCTCAAGCATTTTGAAATAAAAAAATTATAAAAATAAGTTTTGGGAGCACCTCCTTATTTTATGGAGCTTCAACAAGCTTTTAGTTAGGAGCTCTAACTAGGGGTGGAAATGAACCAAATAATTAATAAATGGTTCGATAATTGTTCGAATAACTATTCGGTCATATTCGATTCAATAGTTCATTTATCACTAAACAAATATTTTTTAGTATTCGAGTTTATTAACGAATAGAATTTAACCAGATGTATATTCGATTCATTTGTCTATTAATATTCGTTTAAAATTTGATCACATCTTATTATTTGTATTATTGCACATATAATGTCATATTTTTAACCCACTTATCATTTCTACTTAAGTTTTATATATAGATTTTAAGACTTAAATAATCTTAAATCTGTTTTCTAATTAAAATTTTGATTTAAATATATATACATCATATATTATAAAGAAATAATTTTTATTTATGAATTTTAATACTATTTGAAAATCAAACTCTTTAGCGAAATAAATATACTTTGATATTCGATAAGTATTCGTGAATATTTATGAATATTTATCAAATACCAATTATTCGAGTTCGAATTCGAAAAACTAGATATATGAATATTAGAGTCCGCATTCGAATTCGATAATTTTAAACAAATACAAATATGAACACCTTAAGATTCGATTCGATTCGATCATTTACCACCCCTAGCTCTAACAATATCAAAAAAACCCCTCTTCTATCAAAAAAACCTCACTTCTATTGCAAAGATACAAAGAGCAAATACTTTTTCGTAAAAAAAAAATATTTCTTTAAAGCTTAGGTTTAAAAGTAAGGGGGTTTTTGAAATTTTTTTTTAATGCTTGGGAGCTCCCAAGAGCTCCGATGGGCCCCATTGGCCACATCAGCCCAAGGAGCCCCTTGGAAGCTTGCTGAGAGATTGTTGGAGGGGGTTTTAAGGGCTCTCACCGTCACGTAGGCCTTGAGAGCAGCGGTGGGAGCTTGATACACTTGCTCTTACAACCTTCGGCTCGCTGCGCTAATAATCCAAAGAAACAAGGACGGATATCCACTGTTTTTAACAAATATGATGGCGAAACCATAGAGAGCTACAGAAAATTTCCGGGCCCCGCTTACTGGGCTGACAAAAAAACTCCACGTCAACAACATATCAGGATCCAAAATCTCTTTTAACCAGAGCATTTGATATTCAAACGAGCGCAACATATCACCATATTATCCATAACAAACTACGGATAATAGCTGTCATATCTCTCTCTTTTTTTTATATGAGTGATTGAAGTCATATAAACTAATCGATATGCTTAGATATTTATTAGAGGCTTTATAAAATTATCTGAGACCGTGTAACTGTCAGATGTAAGGTATTGAGGCCATTTTGATGGCATCATTTGGAGACGCATCATCGAAGAACTGGAAATATATGAGCATCACTCGTTTTGTTTTGTTTCATATTAACCTTGATATGATGTTTTTCATTTTGTTTCTTGATTTTTTTATGTTGTTTGGTTGCTTAATGGGGTACTAAGAGTTCTTATCGGAGTATCTTGACACTGTTGTAGAAATTTTATCTACGAGCAAAGTTGGAAGAGGAATAAGTATTAGTACATATTTGATTGTAGAAATTTTTTCTTGGTGAATTTATTTTTTAAACTATTGGCCGCCTTTTACCGGAGAATGGTGTGATTTTGCTGTGTTGTTGATATAATTAAGCAGGAATTTAAAATTTTTCTTTTGATTAATGGGTGTTAACAATCCATAGAATTTTACATGTAAAATATGCAATTTTAATTTGTTTGGAAGGAAGAAATCTAAATATAATTTCTATATCAGAGGCTACTAACTTTATCATCTTCGTAATAGTCAAGCTTCTATTGCATGTTATTAGAATGTGAGTCATGGAAACAATTACCCATCCGGCTGGTGAATAATGTACCTCAAAATATTGAATTTAACTCTCTCCCTTTTGTTGTGTTATTGTTTAAGCTTGAGTGTCTACTTTTTCTACTATTAATATTTTAGATTAGAACTTAACAACAATTGTCCGAATTGAGAAAGATACTGAAATTAAGAGAGAGAGAGAGAGAGAGCCAAAAATTCAACAACAATGCACAAACAATAGTATGGGTGTGTTTGGTAATCAATGTGTTTTTTTTTGTTGTATTTTTGTAAAAAAACACTATGTCATGGCGTTTCTTTTTCAAATGTGTTTTGAAAATACCATTTTGGTCAAACTAGTTTGACCATTTATATAGCGTCAGTGGGCGGGGCGGACGGCGGCAACGGTCGGTTGGCGGGTGGCCGGCAGCGGCCGACGGGCGAACGACGACTGTCGGCTACCGACAAGTAGGCGGCACAAGTGGCCGGCGACAGGCCGGCGGGTGGCAGGTGGCGGCGACAGGCCGACGGGCGTGGCGGGTGGTCGATGGACGGCGGGTGGCCGGGGACGGCCGACGGATGGCGGTGGGTGGTGCCGGTGGTGAACTGCACGCGCCGGGTGGAGGGTGAGCGCGGCGGTCGTCGACGGGCGGCGACGATCGCCAGCGCGTGAGGGTGGCGACGGTGGCGGTGAAGGGTGGCTGGCCGCCGGCTGACGGGCGGAGGCGGCAGGCCGGGGAGCCGGTGGCGGTGGTGGCGACGACGGGCAGCCGGGGATCGGCCAACGTGGGCGGCAGCGGCGGCGGCCGGACAACGGGCCTGGCGTGGCGGTGGGGTGGGCGGCGAGGTGGCCGGCCAGGCGCGGGCGAGCCGGCTATACGGCGGCTTAGATGAAAAAACATAATCTTATAACACATTTTTGGTGTTTTGAGAAAATTGTTTAATTTTTAGATTTTGTAAAGGAACAAGTCAAAAAAATGTCCCGGTTATCGAACGTATTTCTTTGTTTTTGTTAAAAAAAACAAAAACGACAAAAACGCCACGATTGCCAAATGCTCCTATATGTAAGTACACATAAAATGGCAGCACAAACAAACAGCAACGCTAGCCTGTGCTTTGCACGGGGGTAAATACTAGTTACCTTTGATGCGCCATCGACGTAATAAACCAAAACCACTGAATACTCTTCTCCAGCTGTCATCGGCCACCAAGGAACCTTCAACATCTTGTATATTCTGCATTTTTTTGCTACATCAAACGGCTCAGTACCCTTCACAATTTCTCTCTGAAGAAGATCACAACAGAAATTTCTCAAAGATGAACAACGAGAAACTTTTATCGAGTCCGTACTATGTAAAGGTCACGGGTGCGCCATTAAAGACGCAAGTACAAATTACTTAAATTATTTGCCGTCACATACCACTAAATTTATTAACCATATCCCAAAATTTTTAACTTGCAACTGATACAACACAACTCGATATAAATATCGTTTTGTAGTTGACGGTAAACACAATGTCTCATAACCGCGACTACGATAAAAACTCTCCCCATTAAATGAAGTCCTTCAACAAACAAAGCTTCTCAACTTCGAAACGATAACCCTAACGGGTTTTTACCCCTATTTACCGCGTCCTGCAGGTTTTCTAGCAGGTGGAGCAGACTCCTCGTCGTCAGATTGGACGTCTCCATACTGCCAAATTCCCATTCTGCCCTTCTTCGCTTTGTCTTGGAACTCCTCGAGGTTGTCAATAGCCAATTTCCTCTCCCTGGTATCCCACCTCTTTCTTCTTTCTAATCTACCAAGCCCTTCCTGCATTTGTATAAACGGATTTTTATTAGACTAGATCACAAAAATATTGCCACTCAGGAAAGGCTAATTTTCACTTTAAAATTCACAATTAACCCACTTTTTTCAGTTTGATACCGCAAAGTCTAATATCATATCACTTTGACGCCCTTGTCCAGATTTCTCTCTGTTTAATTGAATTTGTATCATGTGCTTAGCATGTGATCGATACATTTAAGTTAATGTCCTGTAGCTAGAGATCCAACCACCTAAATGTTCTCAGTAGCAGTGAACAAACATAACAGAAAAACTAACGATCTGGACAGGGGTAATAAAGTGAAATGGGATTGCAACTATGTTACCCGGGCACATCTATCATGAAGTTGTAGCGGTACCCGACACGTACCGAACACCGACACTCCTTGGACATTACCTGGGTACTTCTAAGTATTGTACCTGTAGCATACACTGACCTGGGACACTCCTTGAATATTCATGTAGATTTATTCAAACACGTAGTCAATTATCTCATACATTTTAAACTAAATACTAGTCATGCCCTTCATGTATGTTTGTCCTACAATTAAAAAACAAGTGTTTCCCAATTTATAATCTACATAATAAAAGAAACATAAAATGTCGTAGGAATTTTAATCCACATAACATGTGAATGGAATCTTATGTAAATTATTAATTTCAATATATGTCAATAGTCATGTTCCCATACCCGTATCCATGAAACATCAGATTGGAACTTTAGGGTATCAAAGCGTTAGAAAAATACTTTGGGGGTATCAAAGTGAATAAATGGAAAAACTATGGGGTTTCAAAGTGAAAATAAACCTAAAGAAATGAAGTAACCTAAAATAATGTTGTTTAAGGGATCAAGCATTGTTCATAAAACATAAAAATAAAGTTCTTTCTCAAGTTATGAGCTTTGCTCACAAAGGTTGGTTTATATCTCCAAATGACATTTTCAGATGCGTTCTAGTCTAACTAGCATACTTCCAAGATTCAGAGCCCAAGCATCAGAATTCAGAAACAAGTGCACGGAAACAGAACTCAAAAAATATAGACGGTAATGAAGGCAACACAGAAATATTGGCATGCCAGATTCAAGTTACTTTGAACTTTAGAGAGAAGACGAGCAAATGAAGACAATCAGAAATGTTGACATGCTAAGTTCAAGTTACTCTGAACATAGAGACAAGATATTTAGAAGTTGGCACAGTTAAATCGGTCAAGGAATCACATCTTGTCTTTTCTTACTAGAAAGAAAATACAATATGTAATTTACTCAATCAATCAAAGGTTAATTATTCAAATATAAAATTTCC